GTACTAAGGGTTCACGTGTAAAAGCACATGCTGACCAACTAATGGGTCGTGTGACTAATGGGGTGCCACCATGCTGACAAACCTAGAGTCGGTGAAAACCGGAATTCGAACCCACAATTAAAGGTTTCTGACTTAACTGTGCGATCGTGGCGACTTTGACGACTGGGCCACTCCTGCTCCCTTAAAGGGCTGGAAAGATCTAATACCTCCTACACGTAAATTACACTTTGAGTACGACTACTATGAAGGATTACACTTACGCTTACAAAATGGTATGATTACGACAAAGGTTGAATGATTCATCAGCTGTTTGTGTGATAACGAACTCTACAGACACGTAAACCGCTGACCGTACATGTAAGTCGTGATAAGGTTTGCCACCCGGGGGTTCGGGCTGAATAAATATTTACACGGTGTATAAGGGTTAGCGCATTATGTTTTCATTTCACTCGACATGTTCAGAATACACACAAATCAACATTAATCCGATTACTTCAGGAAACGAGAACGTTGTTATACATATGAACTCTAATATGACGATATTTTCCCAAGAGCCGTCAACCGAAGAGCGTTGATAATGTAGGCGTATTATGTTCGGTACGAAAGAATGCATGGGTATTTAACACCATATACCCATGACAAAGTTAGCCTCGTACCTTGTGTTTCCGAATACCCGAAGCATAGTTTTAAAAAACACGAGGAAGACAAGGACGTTATGATCAGAGGAAGATATTTTACATGTGTTTTTCTCCAGGTAAGTCTCAATATAGATTTTTTTGTTTCGTTTGTTCTTTTAAGCCGCACTCAGCAACATTCCAGCTATATTGAGGAGGTCTGAAAATAATCGAGTCTGAACCAGACAATCCAGTAACCAACAGCATGAGCATCATTCTGCGCAATTGAGACACCATGACATCACAGTATAGAGATAACAGTGACTTACGTAAATTTAATTTGATTATTTTTAGTTTTAGGCTCAAAAATATGGATTTAACTATATATGTGGATTTTGTAGGTTTCAAATGTACTGATCGCCCTCGAATTCGAGGGTGTAAAACGTCTACCCAGATCATTGCTTCGATTCCGTCATACCGACAAACGTTAAAAGGTGTTACTTGTTGCTCTCCTGGCGCGCAGTATTAGAAGATAAAACGACCATCTTCCGTTTGCAGCCTGTAAACTGTGAACAGGTCACCATTTTAAACAGCAGGATTGTGTATCAGTGAGCTGGGACTATAAAACCGATATTACCCAGGACCGTAGCATACACCTGACCACAAATTCTGTACCTGTTGTGGTTTATGTACAGTATATCTTTTGAATGTGATTACTGGGTAATCACGTACGGTATCTTTGGGAGATGTTTGTTTGTGGAGTATTTTGTTACACTGGCCAGAGATGGTACCACTCTGCGATATCGGCAGGTTGAAATGACTAAGCGCCGATGAAACAGGCTCGTGTGTGAAGCCTATTTCTGGTTTCATCCGCCGTTAAATAGCTGGAATATTGCTAAAAACGAGGTAAAACCTTACTCGCGCATGTGAATGATCGAGCGTGTCACTGGATTTTCTGGCCCAGGGCCGCGTTTTTCAAAACGTTCGTAGAGCTACGACAAGCCTATGATAAACTATTGAGTTACGACAGGTCGTAACGTTACGAACGTTTTGTGGATCGGAACCCAGACTCGATTAGGTACTGGCTGCCGTCAGACAGCTCGACAGCAGCTCCGTGCAACGTAAGAACACGCACATGCACTTAAGTCATTTGTGAATGACTGGGTAAGGTGTGACGCAACGGCGGGCCTAGGAAGGCCTAAAGTGGTACAGGTCTTAAATGTTCGCGTAGGTGAAGCCCAAGTGCACGAATATGATGCTGTCCATCCTGGAAACAAAACCAGGGCGAATGGGGATTTTTTAAGCCGTGATCATTTGTGTCTGCCACGCTTAGGTGATGTAACATTGAACGGAGAATTACGGCGCTTCAGATCCCTGGGTCATGTATACTCCCGAGTTGTATCCACGCGGTACAGGTGAATATAATAAGGCCATTATTAGTCTTACTATTTATTCACTCGTCTGGTAAGTAAATACCAGGGTCTGGACAGTTCATAACTGTATAGGCATTTTCTGTTATAAGTAACACAATAACGTAGAAAGTGTGAAAAAATATGATGCTCAGGATGGCACTTTCGCAACAAAGTACAAATTGTAAAGTACTGTCGGAAATAGAAAAAAACTTTTTTTTTTCACATTTATACCTACAATTTAGGTAGTTAATATGTGAAAGTGTGAAATATCTGTTAAACTAAGTTCGGCCTAACTACAGTCGCAGTGGGAGGGAGATAGGAAACGTAAAAGAAGGATTTTACTGAGGAGAATAGTGCAGAAATGAGCAATGCGGTTCTTTTCTAAGTCCAATGCGTCTTATTTAGAATATATCATGGCTTTATGCAAATTAGTGTGCGATGATATTGTATTACAAAGGACACTTTTTAAATGATCATTTTGAAATTAGACTTAGCTTCATTATAAACGATAGCAGACGTAAAAAATAATAACTTTAATACTGAAACTATTAAGAATGTAGCTACCATGGCGTCTCATTATCACTATAAAAAGAAACAGGTAGGAGGGGTCGTCTCAAAAGCAAAACCAGGACGGGTGTCGCAGACGGTGGTTGGGGTCGGGCTGGGGTACTGAGATATCAGCTAAGATAATATAATCAATAGAGACATATTCAATACACATGAAAAAGCATAAAATATCTTTGAGATGACCCCTTGTGCCTGTGGGCAGCACGAGCATTTCATGCCATGTGAGTCGACGGTCCGTCGTCATACCTGGCTGAGCGACCTAATTGCCATCTATAGTCTGATCTATTGTTTTCAACAGCTATTCGTATTTTTTCTAAGTTTTGACCCGATTTTACGAGTAAACATGCTTTTCTGGATATCCTATTACGCATCCCACTGAACGCCAAGTTAGGCCGATGTGGGTTATTTCGACATATGCTATTTGCAATCGTGTAAATTTTAGGGATACAGAGTAACAGCCTAAAAACAGGTTTTTCTATTTCCGACAGTACTTTAGTACTTTTTGTGGAGTCTTGAGCGTGATTTGAACCGGAACTGATGGTTTGTTTTGTTGTTTCACGCCGCACTCAGCAATATTCCAGTCTGTAAACAAGCCAATCCAGTGATCAACATCGTGAACATCGATCTACGCAATTGAGATACGATGACATGTATCAACAAACCGACTACCAGCCTGACCACCCGATCCCTTTATTTGCCTCGTACGAAAAGCATGAATTACTGAAAACCATTTCTAACCCGGATCTTCACGGTCCGTAACTGATGGATAAATGTTTAAAATCAATATTCTGTTTTTCAGACATACTGCCTTAATCCCAATCTCAAGACTGTTACCAAGGGAGGATGCCACGAAAACTGGTGTCAGACCCGTACAGGGGCTGGTATTCCTGGGAAACCCACTTCAACGCTGCAATGCGCATGAGCACCCAGTCCATGTGGGACCTAAAACTGAAGAATGAAAAGGAAGACCTCTACTGCAAGAGGCATCTGGACAAAATCACCTTCGACCAAAGAATTGAAACTTCCGAGCATTCCAAAACAGTCAAAACCCTCAGACGAGAATACAACAGACTGGTCGCATTCAAGAAGGTGTCGGATATGTACAACTTTCAACTTCACGATAGACTGAATGGCAACAAATCAGTCTCTTCGCCGATGAAGGAATCAAAGAATGTTCCAACTGGTATACCTGTTAGAGAAAATAAATGGAAGAAGATACTCAAGCCACAAATGGATAGAGTCAAACAAAATACCTGCGTTGATGAAACCAGAGACGATGGGTGCTATTACTCCTATAATCTCTTCCCGAGTATAACTCTTTACAAGTCTAAGACAAATTGCAGTCAAGATCAACGGAAACAGAATGGTTCATTTTCTCGGAATCTACTGACGAAAGAGAACGCTCCCGGGGTTCCAGAGAAGCTGCGCTCTGAAAAAGCTGACCACAATTGGTCTCAAACATTAGCTAGCGTCAAAGGTATTGTGAAATGGAAATCTCTCATCCAGGATTCGGATGTCCGTGTTGGTCCAAAAGTCCAACCTCGGGCCTCAGAGAGATCGGTTTTACCAGGAGATTGCAAGAGTATCTATGCTCTTAAGAAAATGATGAAGAAAAAGTTTAAAGAGGCTCTCGACTTTGAAAATAGAAAGAGGATATCATTCCCACCTGTACGTACAAGGACGCGTTAAGTGTGACCTTCAGTAGCACAAGCGACGTGACCACCTTGATAGTGTTTCCATTATATAAAGTAACTTCCAGTTGCAGATCATAGCCGAGACGCTGATGTGTCAAAGATATTTTCATCACAAAATCATGAATGCTGTATTTTCGTACCAGCCATTTGATTGGTTGGTTTGTTGTTTAACGCCGCATTGTATTGTCCTGATCCTGTATAGACAATATATTAACAGGGCACCGTATCAAGACAATTTGTATAAAAGGACAATACGACAAGGTCGATATGCAGCCCCATGTAATTTAATTAAATTGCACCCCGACTCAAGAGATACGTTTGTCTGCTGACCAAAATACTTGTCTCATGTACCTGTGATAACGTGTGGACCTGACTGGAGAAGGTACCCTTTAACTCTGATTTACATGTTAGTGAGTGAGTAAGTTTGGTTTTACGCCGCACTCAGCAATATTCCATCTATATAGCGGCGGTTTGTAAATAATCGAGTCTGAGCCAGACAATTCAGTGCATCGATCTACGCAATTGGGATACGATGACATGTGTCAATCAAGTCACAAGTTGCCACTAACGACAAGCATGGGCTCCTGAAGATCATTTCTAACCCGGATCTTCACGGGTACCAGCCATTTGAACTACTTCTTGTAAGTTCAATCTTTTCGCCTCGGCAACTGTAAAATTAGTCTTTGATAATAGATTTAGCAAAACTGAAAACACAAGTTCGATTTTTTTTTATTCCTGAGTACAGATTCTAAACACAGTTTTCCAAGTTGTTATTTGTTTACCATCATCTTCTCGCTCAGGACGAAATATCTGGAAGAAACAAATGTAAACTGTTACCAAATAATCAATATTGAGCACATGGTGGATTTGAATCCTACGTTAAGAGTATCTCCTAACAACTACGTTTTTTTTAAGTTTCTTCCAGAAATTTGTCATACATGTGCAGATCTACAAGCAAACAAATCAACATGAGATCTGCCTTAATACCAAATCAGGCTGGCGTCGTACAAGGCGACCTTAGCGCTACGGTGACCGTAACTCCCATACCTTAACATACTAGACTTAAGGTAGTCTTAGCGCTAAGGTTGTTTTGCACAACAGCACCCAGGGATCGAGTGAGTGAGGTTAGTTTTACGCCGCACTCAGCAATATTCCAGCTATATGGCGGTCTGTAAATAATCGAAAATCCAGTGATCAACAGCATGAGCATCGATCTGCGCAATTGGGAACCGATGACATGTGTCAACCAAGTCAATGAGCCTGACCACCCGATCCCGTTAGAAAACTGCGTTAGAAAGACATATAGGTATAAAAGATCCCGTTAGTCGCCTCTTATGACAAGCATGGGTTACTGAAGGTTCATTCTAACCCGGACCTTCACGGGTCCCAGGGATCGATATAAGAAAATGAAATCTACTTGGACTCATTGAAGCCTTTGGTAATAACCTTGATGCACCAGACAGGAACCGGTTGGTGTTCATAATAAAACTATATATAATGCTTAAGGTTCGGTAGTGATGATTTACAGCATCATTATAACAAAACTATTCTGGGTCTGATAAGATCATTCTATGTTACTTCTTCAACTTTCATGACAGTCGCAGTAACTGTAATTTCGTCACTGTCTGTGTAAATGATGTAGCCATCAGAGTCACTGCGCCAAATCAGTTACTGTCTTCCAGTTGAAGCATGTGTTCATTGAACAGCAAAATATTACCATGCACTGGGTGCAAGTTTGTATAAAAATGAGGTTGCATTTTGCAGTATCAGACTGCACCAGTTCAAAGCACTTGCTTAAATCGAGCCTGCAAACGTATCACATGGTGAAAACCTTACTTTTCAATCTTCTCGTCCAGCCAAGCTTTGTGTTTGAGATTTGTCACCCATGACGCCGGAAGGGCAGCCATTCCTAGTTTACAGCCGAGAAGAGCTCCGGCCACAGCGCCATTGCTGTCCGCATCACCTCCCTGGAGATGGAAGATGGAGTAACCAAGATGAGGCCAGATGGTCGTCAGATTGAGTCTATGGTTAACATGAAGATGGAGTTAGTTCGGACTATGTGGTGTGAGGAGTGAGTGAGGGAGGGAGGGTGAGGGAGCGAGCTTCCACTCCGCTTTTAGCAATATTCCACCAATATCAGGGCAACCTAAGTGGTTAAAGCATTCGCTGGTCACCCCAAAGATCCGGTTTCGATTCCCCACATGGGTACAATGTGTGAAGCCTTTTCTGGTGTCCCCGCCGTGACATTGCTGGAATATTGCTAAAAGCAGCGTAAAACTAATATGAAACTCACTCACCTTGATGATGTCGAAAAGTATATATTCGCCAGATTATTGATGCAATTTGATAAAACACTAATATTCTGACCAGTGTTACAGCCTTACCTCCATGACGATTTTCTGCAGTGCTTTCCTGAAGTCTTTCTGTTTGAGCGCCCAGAACCCGGCACCCAGGCATTTGTAGGTGTAGCCGATCTTTCCGGACTCGGACAGTTTCAGGTTCTGGATCTTCCTCATCTCCAGGAATGACTTCAGTTCCTTTTTCTGGACAAATGAAAGCAAAGATTGAACAATGTTCCAGATTTGCAGATGTGATATTGGACAGTACGGTGATCACTTGAGGAATGTCAAAATTTATCGAAAATATCAGAGCACAGAACTACACTTTACAAACAAACAATCAAAGTTTAAGTTGGTCAGTAATGGGAAATACTATTTTTTATCGTCCTGATCCTGTATAGGCAATATATTAACATGGCACTCTATCAAGACAATTGTATAAAAGGGCACTATGACAAGGTTGGTAGGCACTCCCATGAAACTTAATTAAAATTGCACCCCTCCCCGACCCAATAGATAACATTGTCTGCTGACCCCAAATACTTGTCTCGTGTACTAGTGATGACGTGTGCACCTGACTGGAGAAGGTACTCCTTTAACTCTGATGTACATGTTAGTGAGTGAGTGAGTTTGGTTTTACGCTGCACTCAGCAATATTCCAGCTATATGGCGGCCGTCTGTAAATAATCGAGTCTGGACCAGATAATCTAGTGATCAACAGCATGAGCATCAATCTACGCAATTGGGATAGGATGACATGTGTCAACCCAGTCAGCGAGCCTGACCACCAGATCCCGTTAGTCGCCTCTTACGACAAGCTTGGGCTACTGAAGATCAACTCTAACCCGGATCTCCACGGGTAAGATAATGTAGATGTTAACTAAGTAAGTAATTCTCCCGACTGGTGTACTGACGTCAATGCGCAACTCCTCCTGACACGATATGTATTGGCCGATGACTTGATATGATGGCAAAAAGCTATCCCTCATTTATTTGCAATTTGAAGTAAAATACATTCGTCTGGATACGTTGGAAATCATGAACATGTCCTAAGAACATTTTCTGCACCATATTTCGACAGCCCTAGAATAAAACTGACACCATACAAAGCAGCTGCAGTACAGAGAAAACGGCCTGTATAAAAAGTTGACAATGCTGTACCTCTTCCTGAGTTGGAAGACAGGCAGCGGCCATCTTGAAGCTGTCTTGGATGATTTTATTCACCCTGTATTTCCCACTGCGCTTCATGTGTTGTGGCGCCCTCTCAACATGAGGCTTATTGCCACCGACACAGCAACTGTCGACGCCTGACACCTGGCACAACAACAAACAAGATAGTTGATAGTTTACAGCAGTGAGTGAGTGAGTTTGGTTTCACGGCTCTTTAACCATAATATTCCATTAATATCACTGAGGGGGAATGTGGGGAATTCAATGCGGGGTCCTCTGCGTGACGAGCGAACACTTTAACCACAAGGCTACCCCACCGCCCCGCTACTTTATATGACATCCGGAATGAATGAATGAATGAATGAATGAATGAATGAATGAATGAATGAATGCCAGCTTAGTCTGGGAGGAAAGCCGGAAGTCATGCCGGTGTCAGATTTTACCACTTTGGTGAATCCTACGAACAGGAGAATGGGGTGGAACAAGAGGATGACCATTGGAAACCGTTTGCTTGAGTATGCCTACATATTTGTCTGCAAACTTAAACTTTTCTCGACTTAAATTGGAAATGATTGGGTTGGTAGGTTGCTTAAGAGCCACGTGCAGTTTAATCCTAAAAGGCTTTAATGATAGCTACAAATATGGTCACTGGCCTTTTCCCCACCTGACAGGTAGTTAGTTATAGCACTGGTTTCACATGACATATTCAGTCATTTCAGGGTAGGTGCTTGGGTATCGCCCGTTCGCTTCCTTTTATTAAACGTGTCAATATCGTTTACTTGTTCTGTTTTTCAGTGCTATCTAGACATAATAGTGGAATTTCAAAATACACACATGCTTCTTGAACATTTAGGTCTATTGCCAGTACTTCGTGTACTTTTTTCTTCTTGTTGTTTTCAATATTTCAACACAAGAGCGTTCGGTGGGATCAATCAGAAATAATATTATATAATAATAAATTAATAGACTTTTCTTCCGGTCATAAACCCGAAACTGAGTCCCCAGGCTCCAAAGATGAAATCAGAGGTGGCTGGGATTTTATTTTATAAACCCAATATTTTACAATTTTGCAATATGAATTTTTAAACTATTTATATTCAGAGTTTAATAAGCCGTTACATATTGTACAGCTAAGTTTACCTCGGGTCGTAATGAGTGGTTTTGCATATATTCAGGGCATTGTCAACCACAGCTTCCGTGTCCCAAAACTGTTGGACGCCGAGAATGCAGGTTCTCATGACAGCTCCGTTTGAAGCCGCCATTTTCCCACTCTCCCACCATTCGCGCGCGGCCTGTATGGAAAACCAATGATATAAGGTAAAAGGGAGAGACAGTGGCTGATCCAGATGATCCAGAGGGGGGGATCTGGGGGTTCGATCAGCACGCACGCACACACATACACACACATACGCGCGCGCACACACACACACACACACATTTTGTTTTGTTTTGAAAATGACTAAAGACTACATTGAAGTTAATGTTTTGCAATGGCACGAACACACCCAAACAAACACACACACCCTCGAAAATTTCTGGATCCGCTTATGAAGAGAGGTTACGTTATGAACTTTCGGTAATGACGCGGTGAGTAATTGATGAATATGAAAAGAAGGAATATGATTGGCCGAGATAGAACGTTCGTTCCTATCTTCCTTCATCTTCAACCAGCCACGGGATCTCTATATCCGTGACTAGATTTAACGGCACTGACACAAAGTCAAGCTTACTCTCATTGGACAATAAAGTGTTTAGGAGATAAACCTAAAGTGTATTCATTATGGAGTTATTTTCCTAGACTTGGTTCCTTTGAATTTCATTTATATAATCGAATCGAACCCGGATTTGGGAACTACACTCTGGGCGTAAAATTCGTTATTCCTCGTAGCTAGGAGGTCCCAGTTGAATTGTCAACGTCTTCAGCAACCCACGTTTGTCTTAATGTAAGGAGCAACTAACGGGATCGAGTGGTCAGGCTCGGGGGAATTCGTTGATGCATGCTATCGTATCCCAATTGCAAAGATCGATGCTCATGTTGTTGATCACTGGATTGTCTGGTCCAGACTCGATTATTTACAGACCGCCGCCATATAGCTGAAATATTGCTGAGTGCGGCGTAAAACTAAACTTAATTGCGGAGATGGATGCTCATGCTGTGAGTCAGGGAATATATGGACCGCTGTCATATATCTTAACTGTTGAGGGCCTTGAGGCGTTCAACAACACAAAACCTTTACAACAGGTCTAGCTATACTGATGAGTCAGACCATATGGCCAGGTTATTGATCATTACACTCTCTTGGCTATTCTGATATTGATATGTTTAGGGTTGTCTGTAGTGTAAGTGTTGTTTCTTTAAACATGCCTTATTTAATTAAACATTTGGGGAAATCGTTTCAATTTACATTGAATTTGTTTGCCATATTTATGAAGATACCACACTATGTTGCAAACTTGTTGATGCCTCAGTTTTCGGTGTTCACACATGAGTTACCTTGTGTGGCTGAGTCACAAACTCGGGGTTGGCAATGACCTTTGCTGTTGTGGTACCGATCCCCATGCCAACGCGATCGCCGAGTTCAGGAAAGCCATTCCGAGACCAAAACTTTAACCTGTCTGCAAAATCTTCGGGTTTTACCTGCCAAACATATACATTGTATGGTTACATTGTTTTCTGTACAATTATGTGAGGGTGAATGTTTCAACAGATCACATAAAAAATTGTTTCCATGAGTGAGTGAGTTGGGTTTGATCCAGTCATTAGCTGAATAACGTATGCTTGTCGTAAGAGGCGACTAAGGGGGTCGGGTGGTCAGGCTCGCTGACTTGGTTGACACATGTCACTGTATCCCAATTACGTAGATCGAAGCTCATGATGCTGATCACTGGATTGTCTGGTCCAAGCTCGATTATTTACAAACCACCTCCTCCATATAGCTGGAATATTGCTGAGTGTGGCGTTAAACAACCAACCGACCAACCAACGTCATCTGTAGTTACTTAGTCTGCTGCGTCGCACGGCTTGCAAGCGATATAGGGACACATGGTCGAGTACGGTTTTGGTGGTAATAAGTCATTTATAAAATGAAGCAAAACACGTCAGTGTAAAAGAATAGCCAGTCTTGCCAATCCTTTGGGAACAAAACAGCTGTGAAAAATATATGAAGCATTCATTGAACACCAGTAATGACACCGGGTGTTCGTGGTAAGAGTAAACATGTCCTGCCTTCCGGTAGCGCCCGCATGCACACAATATGACTGAAAAAAGTGTACAGACACGTGCAAGTTATATTGGGCCACTTCAGGTAATTTCCATAGACTTACATGTTATTTCAGTGAAGCATAAATAATTTAAATTGTGTTTAGAATGGATCGTTGTCAAATTTGACAGGCAAATGTAAAATCATCTCTGCTCTGCGCACATAATTTCAGTTAAATTTTCAGACCACTATATAGCTAATGAGATCACATTTATCAACTTGGTATGGTTCCACAATGCACAATCCCATAGGCCGCCATATCAAAGGAGTTCACGGCACTATACATATGTTGATTAAATGGTTGCCATTCGATAAATATGCAACGGAAATTCAAATAGACATTATTTGATTGTAGATAAGATGATTCCTCACAAATGTGCAAAATTTGACTTAGATCATACGAATGTTAAATTCATGAAAATTATTTATGCTACACTAAATTAACATGTAAGTCTATGGAAACTACGTCAAGTGGCCCAATATAACTGGCACTGGTCTGTATATACGGCTTGACACCGCACACCAGTAGGCCTGCGATGACAACCTGTAAACAAGACAGACAATGAAATGATCATGGACTGGAAAATCAAGTTTCCTGACTGGATCAGGGGGTCGGGTGGTCAGGCTAGCTGACTTGGTTGACTCATGTCGTGTCCCCTTAAAGGTTTGGAAGTATCTATGGCATCCTATCCTATAACAATTGCATAGACTGTTGCTCATGCTCTTGATCACTGGATTGTCTGGTCCAGACTAGATTATTTACAGACCGCCTCATCCATATAGCTGGAATATTGCTGAGTGCAGCGTTAAACAACAAACCGACCAACCTCTGGAAGGGACTGTGGAGGGAGTGCATCACTACCTGCCGAGCATTGCCTAAAAGGGGAAGAATATCTATCTCACCTGTCCATCATTGTCTGTAAGGGACTGCAGGATGAGTATCATCTGGTCCGTGTCATCTGTCCAGTCTCCCTCCTCCCACCTTGTTCTATGCACATCAGGCCATAGACGCTTGTGTTCTAGCTCAAGGTGTTTCCTTACTTCACCATATTCCTGGTTTTAATAAATGTATGGGTTTGAGGAAAACAGGCACTTTCGAAACAAGTTCTAAACATTAAATGTGAGTAAAGCAAGTTTGTGAGTGAGTATGGTTTTACGCTGCCTTTAGCAATATCACCGCGGGGGACACCAGAACATAGGCTTCATACATTGCATCCATGTGGGGAATCGAACCCGGGTCTTCAGCGTGACGGACGCTTTAACCACTGGGCTACCCTACCACCCAAAATTATAACATAATACGAAAATTGCGGACATTCGGTGAAGCTTGCGAAGAATAACAAATATTAATACTTTAGATAATTTTATATACCTCTTTAGCCTCCTCTTTGGTTAGGAACTCAGTGAGCAAACCAATAGCATCCCCCACTGCCTGACCGTATAGAGTCGCCAGAATCTGATCCCGAGGGTAGACGGCTGTAGCCCCAGGGGTGGAGGCCTGAAAGAAATTTTGGTGCAAATACAATATGAAATAGTGGCTGGTCAGTCATCACTTTGCCTATCAGGCTGTCACTCGCCATTACAAAAGTAATCGTCGGACATTTTATGTACGCTACACACATATTCAGAAATAGAATATAATATGATTTATATGTAAGACTAAATATTTCCAGTTAAAAAAGACAAGTATGTAACGCTTGCTGGTAATTATGACCCCCATGTAGACAAGTCAACACATGAAATCCGCTAAGATAGATGAACGAAGGAAAGAACTTCCCACAAGCGCCCTTTTTATCTCACCCGACCCACACAATATATATTTATGTCCCTAATAATGTAGCTTTAGAAAACACCTTTTGACTACAGATCAGATGCATGCAGATTTAAAACTCAGGTTCAGCGTGTTTAATTAACAAATATAATCCATACACACGTGTATCTTCGTTAAGCCACGACCTCATAAAGTGCACATTTACGTTCCTTTCTAAATTAATTATCCATCAAATTCCTGAATAGGTAACATACCTATCATCACCATCATCATCATTCTTATTAACCTCCACATGGGTACAATGAGTGAAGCCCATTTCTGGTGACCCCCGCCGTGATATTGCTGGAATATTGCTAAAAGCGGCGTAAAACCAAACCCAGTCAGTCAGTCAGTCTTATTAACATCCGAAACAAATTATATCTGGGCAAGGTGTAGACTGTCTCACACATAGGCGCCCGACTCTGATATATTTATAAGTATGACCTATATGTATAAGGTCTTATACATATAGGTCATACTTATAAATATATCAGAGTCGGATATATTTATAAGTATGACCTATATGTATAAGGTCTTATACATATAGGTCATACTTATAAATATATCAGAGTCGGGCGCTCTCACAGTCCCTGAACCACATTATTTCCCCTTCCGCCTAGCCCTTTCTGCAGAGCTTGGCCCTAAATGAAGCAAGTCTAGATTTCCTCAGCTTCGGGTTCTGAATCTCCCATATTACTGGGGCTCCTTTTCAATTACAAATAGCTATTTGTTTCTGTCAAACCGGTACATATTCACAGACTAAGCGTTTGTCTAGACAAGGCGCAATTCAAGTTGAAAACACTCACCGCTTCAGCCATCACTATTATTATATGGGATGCCCTAGGTCGTCATTACTAAACTGTAAACAAGCACGATTCTTCTTCGGCCCGGGTTCCCCTGTTCTGGCGACGTGCTGGATAGTTCTCTCGTCGTGTGGTTCATGTTTGGAAGCAGTTAATAATAATAGATAACCTTCATGGACAGTTATGATTTACGATACTGATTCATGTTGTTTGTGACCATTTGTGGACGTCAAAACAGCGAGAAGTCGGACATATCGAACGGTGCTTGTTCTATTAATAACCTGGGAAGGGAGGTAACTTGCATGTGGCTATCGGACAAACCTTCAAAAATGTTAGTAGTTCTCTGCCTGTTTTATAATCAATTTCTAACTTTGTTTATTTTAAACGTGCCACCGAAGTACACCGTCAATATTAATTACGTATTAATTTATATACAAATGATGCAAGATTCGAAGAATGTTTCGTACTTTCGTAGCTGTTTCATATTCAGTTCTCAGTTTGCCAGCTGTTAAAGCCAAGGGGCGGCGGGGTAGCCTAGTGGTAAAAGCGTTGGCTCGTCACGCCGAAGACCCGGGTTCGAATCCCCACATGGGTATAATGAGTGAAGCCCATTTCTGGTGTCCCCCGCCGTGATGTTGCTGGAATATTGCTAAAAGCGGCGTAAAACCAAACTCAGTCAGTCAGTCAGTTAAAGCCACGGACTGACGACTGCAACTCGGTCTTTGGCGATTTATTAAAAACAACAAATACATTCCCACTGAATGCACGTGTATATGCCTCCTACACACATCGGAGACATAGACAAAAGCTTTTGATACTTGTGAGACCTTTAAAGTACGATATATTGATTGATGTGTGCGTAATTGTCCGGTTTTCGATCATGTCACCGTATATCTGTGATGAACCTTTACATACTATTTAGTATGGAGGCTTAGTTTATCGATATTCTGACCCGCGGTGGGGGCCTATGATATAGAATTCAAAACATGCACTAAATAACGCCGTGAATAGTGATTTAGTAATTGGCTACATTTCCGATGCCTGTATAAGTTTTCACTAATTGCACAGTCCCAATAACGCGTGGATATCATAGACGAAGGAATTTCCACAGCGAATTCAAAACTCTTAAGCGTATTTAATGATATATCTACATATTGTTTCGACATCAAATTGAGGGTTGAAAAGGAGGGACATATATTTCACGATTTATGTAGAAAAGCAGCAAATTTACAACACCGTCACATTCATTGATGGCTAGGTCGATATAGTACAGATCTACGTTTTGGATTTGGTGAAATAAGACGGTTTGAAAGACAATCGGCTCATTGTTGAATGTTACACAATTTCGTTACACTGTGTGCAGAAATAAGAACGTTATAACAGTTTCTATACAATATATTACGTTTTTGAAACCACGACGTCAAAACAGTTAAACAGCGCGGCTGGGCAACAATATATATAAACTAATATTGTAATCTAAATACGTAATTTCTTTGGAATAAATTATATGGTAGCTTCCCTGGGATCTGATAGTTATTTGTATTGAGAGACATGCATTATTCATTTTTAGAGAAGTGTGGTGTGATATAGTGCCTTTAAAGGTCACATGCAACGTAAAACACAACTTTGCAGATTCTGATACCTTTCGGTATGGACTTACCGAAACAAATCATCAAAAATGCAAATTCAACTTATAAAGTTGAAAAATAACGCGATGAAAAAAACCGCGCGAAATCGGAGTTCAAACGATTCACTAATTTTCCCCCGACTTTTCGGGGAAAAACTGGTTTCAACAACTGGGCTGCGCTCATAGCACGTGCGCAGTGAAATAGGTTCGCGCAACTTGGAAGCGGGCTGTCTGGTGAATACTCGGTGAAGGCTTTGGTGTGAGCTATTTTCCTAATGTTTTGTTGATATCTCACAGGCGCGAGCTTTTTATATGTTATGACAGTAAATAAACTGTTTATATAATTTCATTTGTCTATTTCACCACACGTTCTTCTTACCGAGTCACTTTCTCAGTTCGATACTTAAAAGCAATGTCATTATTTAGCGTTGACAGAATTTCTAACTGTGATATAGATATGTCGTTGTCACAGACAAAACTCAATGTCTTCTTTTATTGACACCTGTGTGTCTGCCTGCCTGTCTGCCTGCCTCCTAATGACAATATTCAATACACAACTGCGATCACTGACCACATGCAATTTGAACTTAACACCAATCAGGCTATACACCATAAACAAAACGCATTGATTTATGGCCCGAGTTCGGTCTCTGTCACATTATGTAATTACACAGACAGACAGGTGTGATACTTGAACACATGACATGTTATGATGTCTGTTGATTGCAAAATGTTATACACAAAAAATGAGCATGTATTTACAAAACCCAACATCTCTATATATACACACACAATGAGCCGTGAGGGCATCTGCAAATGAACCAGCCGTTACACTTGAGTGCACACCCACCCGCTCTGACTGGGTTCGGTATCCCGGCTGCTTCGTTTCTTGGGAAGTAAACCCAAGTACACAATATTGCACTTTTGATTTGCGATTGTACGCTTATAATTTTGTTTATATGTTTTTTCTTAACCAGCAATGTATATTATATGTCATGAATAAGTGATAATTGTGTTTTAATTATGTTTGAGTTTTTGGTTGCATGTGACCTTTAAGCTAACACCCAGAGATACATGTGAGGTAGATATTATCTGGGGTGACCTATCTCAGTTATTCCTAGTAAGTACTGGTCATCCTATAATGTTTCTTAAATAATCAGGTTCGAGATAAAAGTCTATCGACATTTCATATCTTATAGGGTGTCAATGAATTGCAGATTTATCTGCACCACTTTTAAATCCCTCAGAGGTATTGTCTGATGAGTTCATTGATACTTTATTTATCTTGAAAAATATAAACATATACGTCTTTTTTTATTCAGTTTATTTGTTTAACTGTATTCAAAGTATTAACGCGATTCTGTCACTGCAATAACCAGATGTTTTGAAGACTCATTTTACAGCCTTTCAGTTTAGTGCTAATTTTGTACTGTTAAAATTCATGTTGACATAAATATTTTCTTTTCATTAGCATGTGTGCGTTGTATCTGAGACACTGCTTGTTTCCACTGATGCTTTAAGATGTGACGATATCGATGTCAACTGGTCATATGGCGGGAATGCATTCGTAACCAATCGACCCTTTCCGTAACCTCCAAGAAGATATTCGGCTTCTCCCGGAATAACACGAGTAGGTCACGAATGGGCGGGGATGCTGCAGTTTAGATTTTAGGCCACTTTTAACGGCACTTGAGTTATATTGTGCCATGTTTACTTTGTTTAAATATCAAAGTTATGCATATCCTGAACCTTTACCACGGGTCAGTGAGCGAGTTTAGTGTTACGCCGTTTTCAGCAATATTCCAGCAATATCACGGCGCGGGACGCCAGACATGGGCTTCACACATTGTTTCCATGAAGGAAATCGAATCCCGGCCTTTGGCGTGACAAGCGAAGGCTTTAACCACAAGGCTCCCCGGCCCCCAGCATGGGAATGGTGCTGGCAAACCAGTAATGATAACGAGAGCGAATCTACATTGTGGTGTTCGAACTACAATGAACGGATATAGACACAGCTAAGGGAGGCTACTCTGTACAGACAATTGTGGACTTGAACAACATACTCTCTCCTAACCCAAGGGCAGTTTACTTTCTTTAAATTATAGCAAAAATTTATCAGCATTTCCTGATTGTGGAATTTCAAGTAACTCACATTTACTTTACTTCTAAATCCTGGAAGAGTGGTGTTGCATTGCATGAAGGAAAACAGTGGACCCATGTTAGGTATTAGGACACTTTCACATGGTTTGTTCCAGCAATGTAGGACATCTCTTGCCCACATCATTACGCTTCCACTGTCTGGACCTGTACAATTAGTTGCAATGCGTTGAGGGTTATCGTTCTCTCTAACTCAATGCAACATAAATCTGTTATCATGAGGGCGGTTGGGTAGCCTAGTGGTTAAAGCATTCACTCGTCACGCCGAAGACCCGGGTTCGATTCCCCACATGGGTACAATGTGTAAAGCCCATTTCTGGTGTCCCCCGCCGTGATGTTGCTGGAATATTGCTAAAAGCGGCGTAAAACCAAACTCACTCACTCACTGTTATCATGACACGGCCTGGTCAAACCTCTTTCGCAAGGAACTGCTGCCTTTTAAGACGGGGCTGTAAAAAGACATAACCGAGTGTACCTATCCGGGGCTCCCTTGTCAATACGAGGTCAACATTACCTGGGGTGGTCATGTGGTGTGTGATGCTATGGCTAAAAAGGCAAGAGCAAGTTATGTATATCGATCCCACGTCTTTCATTCAGATACATTGTATACTGTTATGGCGGCGTTAAAGCATTTCGCTTCCCACCTCTAATTTGCAATGAGTAGTCATAGCACAGGCAGTCCACCACTTACAGTATGTTCACAATACACGTAGTCCCCCACTTACAATGTGTAGACAATACACGTAGTCCCCCACTTACAGTGTGTAGACAATACACGTAGTTCCCCACTTACAGTGTGTAGACAATACACGTAGTCCCCACTTACAGTGTGTAGACAATACACATAGTCCCCCGCTTACAGTGTGTAGACAATACACGTAGTCCCCCACTTACAGTGTGTAGACAATACACGTAGTCCCCCACTTACAGTGTGTAGACAATACACGTAGTCCCCACTTACAGTGTGTAGACAATACACGTAGTCCCCCACTTACAGTGTGTAGACAATACACGTAGTCCCCCGCTTACAGTGTGTAGACAATACACGTAGTCCCCACTTACAGTGTGTAGACAAAACACGTAGTCCCCCACTTACAGTGTGTAGACAATACACGTAGTCCCCCACTTACAGTGTGTAACACAGGTAGTCACCCTCTACAGTGTGTAGCAATAACACAGTTAGTCCCCACTTACAGTGTGTAGACAATACACGTAGTCCCCCACTTACAGTGTGTAGACATAACACAGGTAGTCCCCACTTACAGTGTGTTGCGATAACACAGGTAGTCCCCCACTTACAGTGTGTGAAGACAATACACGTAGTCCCCACTTACAGTGTGTGTAGACAATACACGTAGTCCCCACTTACAGTGTGTTGTGTGATAACACAGAAAGTCCCCCACTTACAGTGTGTAGACAAAACACGTACAACACACGTAGTCCCCACTTACAGTGTGTAGACAACACAGGTAGTCCCCACTTACAGTGTGTAGACAATAACACAGGTAGTCCCCCCACTTACAGTGTGTTGTACAACAGTGTGTAGTGTAGTAGTCCACACAGTGTGTACAATAACACAGTACACACAGGTAGTCCCCACTTACAGTGTGTTCTGTGAATACACAGTAGTCCCCACTTACAGTGTGTTGTGATAACACAGGTAGTCCCCACTTACAGTGTGTGTGACAATACAGGTAGTCCCCCACTTACAGTGTGTAGATAACACAGGTAGTCCCCCACTTACAGTGTGTAGTAATAACACAGGTAGTCCCCCACTTACAGTGTGTAGATAACACACGTAGTCCCCACTTACAGTGTGTAGAGATAATACACAGTAGTCCCCACTTACAGTGTGTAGTGATAACACACGTAGTCCCCCACTTACAGTGTGTAGACAATACACGTAGTCCCCACTTACAGTGTGTAGACAACACACGTAGTCCCCCACTTACAGTGTGTGACAACACAGGTAGTCCCCACTACAGTGTGTACAGTGTGTAGACAATACACGTGTAGTCCCCCCACTTACAGTGTGTGTTGTGATAACACAGTAGTCCCCACTTACAGTGTGTGTGTGATAACACACGTAGTCCCCACTTACAGTGTGTAGACAATACACAGTAGTCCCCCACTTACAGTGTGTAGACAATGATACACAGTAGTCCCCCACTTACAGTGTGTAGACAATACACGTAGTCCCCCACTTACAGTGTGTAGATAATACACAGTAGTCCCCACTTACAGTGTGTTGTGATAACACAGGTAGTCCCCACTTACACAGTGTGTGATAACACAGGTAGTCCCCACTTACAGTGTGTTGTGACAACACAGGTAGTCCCCACTTACAGTGTGTAGACAATACACAGTCCCCCCCACTTACAGTGTGTTGTGATAACACAGGTAGTCCCCCACTACAGTGTGTGTGATAACACACGGTAGTCCCCACTTACAGTGTGTTGTGATAACACAGGTAGTCCCCACTTACAGTGTGTAGTGATAATACAGGTAGTCCCCCACTTACAGTGTGTGTGATAACACAGGTAGTCCCCACTTACAGTGTGTGTAGACAATACACGTAGTCCCCACTTACAGTGTGTTGTGATAACACAGGTAGTCCCCACTTACAGTGTGTGTTGTGATAACACACACAGTCCCCACTTACAGTGTGTAGACAACACACGTAGTCCCCCACTTACAGTGTGTTGTGATAACACAGGTAGTCCCCCACTTACAGTGTGTCGATAACACAGGTAGTCCCCACTTACAGTGTGTAGTGTAATAACACACGTAGTCCCCACTTACAGTGTGTAGACAACACACGTAGTCCCCACTTACAGTGTGTAGTGATAACACACGTAGTCCCCCACTTACAGTGTGTGTAGATAACACAGGTAGTCCCCACTTACAGTGTGTGACGTAGTCCCCACTTACAGTGTGTGTAGACACACACGTAGTCCCCACTTACAGTGTGTAGACATAACACAGGTAGTCCCCACTTACAGTGTGTAGATAACACAGGTAGTCCCCACTTACAGTGTGTTGTGATAACACAGGTAGTCCCCACTTACAGTGTGTTGTGATAACACAGGTAGTCCCCTTTACAGTGTGTTTGTGATAACACAGGTAGTTTACAGTGTGTTGTGATAACACAGGTAGTCCCCACTTACAGTGTGTTGTGATAACACAGGTAGTCCCCACTTACAGTGTGTTGTGATAACACAGGTAGTCCCCACTTACAGTGTGTCGTGATAACACAGGTAGTCCCCACTTACAGTGTTGTGATAACACAGGTAGTCCCCACTTACAGTGTGTTGTGATAACACAGGTAGTCCCCACTTACAGTGTGTTGTGATAACACAGGTAGTCCCCACTTACAGTGTGTTGTGATAACACAGGTAGTCCCCACTTACAGTGTTGTGATAACACAGTGATAACACAGGTAGTCCTAACACAGTTAGTCCCCTTAAGAGTGTAGTGATAACACAGGTAGTCCCCACTTACAGTGTGTTGTGATAACACAGGTAGTCCCCACTTACAGTGTGTTGTGATAACACAGGTAGTCCCCACTTACAGTGTGTTGTGATAACACAGTTAGTCCCCAACTTACAGTGTGTAGTGATAACAGAGTTAGTCCCCACTTACAGTGTGTAGTAATAACAGAGTTAGTCCCCACTTACAATGTGTAGCAATAACAGAGTTAGTCCTCACTTACAATGTATAGTAATAACAGAGATAGTCCTCACTTACAATGTGTAGTAATAACAGAGTTAGTCCCCACTCACAATGTGTAGTTATAACAGAGTTAGTCCCCACTTACAATGTGTAGTAATGACAGAGTTAGTCCCCACTTACAATGTGTAGTAATAACATAGTTAGTCCTCACTTACAATGTGTAGTAATAACAGAGTTAGTCCTCACTTACAACGTGTAGTAATAACATAGTTAGTCCTCACTTACAATGTGCAGTAATAACATAGTTAGTGCCCCCCTTACAATGTGCAGTAATAACATAGTTAGTCCCCGACTTACAATGTGTAGTAATAACAGAGTTAGTCCTCACTTACAACGGGCAGGAATAACATAGTTAATCCT